ATTCATCTGAGGCCTCTAAAAACTTGTCTTTTTCACCCAAAGATTCATTTTTCTCACAGTAACATATGAATTAGAGAATAGTAATTGGTCTCAAGATGTGACTAGTAATCCTAAAATAATAGATGCATTCCATTCTACCATTCAGTCAGCAATGCAAAAGAAGTACGTTCAGTTTTGCAAATACCAGAAAATGAAAGGATATTTCATAATTTTGTGTAATGGAAGAAACTGTAGCAATAAAACAGAAAGACAAATTAAAATATACATATGTGAATTAATAGCCTCACATGGGAATTAATTAGAATGAATTCTAGATGTTTTTTTTTCTTCAGTACAATTATAGTATCTTTTTAAAAGAATCTATATTGGGATTAAAACTATTTAAATTGGGTTAATGCCACAGTGAAATCACTTGCCTCATGTGATGGAGGACTCACACTGTTTCTCTTTAAGCAAAATATAGCCATTTGTTGGGAATGGTTTAATTTGGATTCTAGGAGTTGACCTAACATGTATGGTGCATGTTCTGAAATATACTCCCTTCCTCCACATGAAATATCAAATGCTCCAAACTCTGCTCTTTGTAGTGCTCTTCCCGTGACTTCCTCTATTCTGCAGAAAGTTCACTCAAGGCCTATTGGTAATTGCTGCTGAAAGCCAAAAATACCTTTAATAGTTTATCAAATTTCCTATTAAGATACCCTGCTTGCTCTGGCTCTTTGCCCCAGACTCAAAGCTGTATTTGATAAGCTGAGGACTGATTATAAGAGTTGGGGTGACATTCACTTTGTCCTACTGTTCTCCAATATCCATAGCCTTCCTCTCCTCACAACCTTACAGCTTTTTTCCCTCTCTTTGTCACATACACTGAGCATTTTCTTCACAACAGGCTCACTGAGGCTCTCTTTCTTTGTGTTGCACAACGTCAGTGGGGAAGGTTAGAAAGGTTTAATCTCCTCATTTCATGATCCAAGACCTCATCAGTTCTATTCTTTTATTGCCCTTGTTCAATCTATTAAATACCTGGTGGGCAAATTGGGGAAATATTTGAACATGTTCTTCCACCATCACAAGTGCATACTTTCCTCCCTCTTGGCGCAGTTGAGAATAGTACCAGCTAGGCACTAGAGGTGCAAAAATGTGATAGGTAGGAAATCTGATAGAATCAAATTTGGAGTTTTATAAAATAGAAACTTTTCCCTGTTTTAACAGTAGGAAAAGGTTTACAAAATAAAATAGCAAAACAATTCAAGTAAACTTTTGGAGTGAAAAAAATACCCAATAACATTTATCTTGACATCTCTTTTTCCTAGAACTGAAATATATTTATCAGATGCATGAAGCTGCTTAACAGTGCATTCAGAGCTAATAAAGAGGAGCCTCTTCGCACTGATTCACAGAGTTAAGAGATTCACTCTTAGTAACTTTTGCATACCAGCAACTGAACTTGGGATCTTCTATATAAAATACAGTATGCATTCTAACACTGAAGTATGGCCTCTCTCAAAGAGAGATTACGTTAACTTATAAGCTTATATAAGGTTAAGATATAGCTTTGAAATAACTGAATATAATTCTAGTCATGTTCTTGCATGGTTTGAAAATTTTCTATATAGTCTCCCTATAACTCACCAGCTGAATTAATAAAAATATATGTCAAATTACAACATTTAAAATTAATAGACAGTAATACAACTGAAAATAAATTAAATTGTTCAAGATAACATATGTAAATGTATGAACACAATTTCAAATTTATTTTGTATCTGTTAACTTACGCTGGACCGTAATTACACACAAGAATGTTATTATTTTTTTTCTTTCCATCCATGTAAGGGCAGAAAACAATAGCACAGCCAACTTTGTATGAAGCAGCCCAAACAACCTGAAAAAGAAATGTTAAATAATTTAAGTTTCTCTCCAATCTCTCCCTATTTTGATCTGCATTTGGCCAAAAGTTTCTCTATAATTATTTAAGTTCTGCCTAAAACAAAATATTTTTTTTGAGGTTGAAACCAACAATCCCTGTTTAAAGTGTTCCATCAAAATATTTCAATCTGGTTGTATTCCACTGGAACAAAACTTGAAACAGCTTGAGCGTTCCAGCCATAGAAAACAATGGGAACATGGAAACGACTGCTGCTGTTCTGTTTTTCATCCCAGGATCACAAGAGTAGGTGGGATCATCACCCAACTTGCAGAAAATTTGGCCAAGGACATGATTTTAAAAATATTAAGTAGATCTGCATAAGAAGCAGTTCTACTCTGACCAACTGAAAAATGTGTTTATCTCAGGATCACAAGAGTAGGTTACTTGATAAAAAGAGCCTTCAACTGGTATTTCTTGCCTCTACTTTCCCATCCCCACCCCACAAAATCAAGCATCTCATTCAATGTTACAGAATAAGACTGAGGAACACAAAAATACCTTAAGCCTAGGAACTGGTAGCCCATTTGGAGAAACCTAGGTCCTTTAAAGCATGTCACCAGATTACAATCCTCCAAGACAAACTGGTATGTTTGTTTAACACAGTATTTATTTGGTTTATTATATATACAACTTTAAAGAAAACATAGTAAGTGTTAGGCTTACAGAAAAAGGATTAGGATTCAAGCAGCAAATGTAAACAAGGAATAGTGGATAGTTTCATCCAAGATGGACATAAAACTTCAGAAAAAAAACAAGTTTTGAAAGAAAGTGAACAAGGCTTGAGCACACACAAAATAAAATCAAACATTAATATTATTTTATCTCTGAACCTTGAAGTTAGATTACATCCTCCTATGGATCCTGCAAAATTCAGCTCACATCCTGGGATTTCTTTTTTTTTCTCCCTACTTTTCAGTCAGCTTCTGCTGTCAGGAAAATTAAAAGAACAAAAGCCTCCAACAAATCCTTCCTTCCTATTTAATACCAAGGGGAGGTATTCACCTTACTAGAGGTAGAAAGGATTCATTTACAGGGTAGTTGTGGATATTTGTTGATCTGATGAGAGTCTCTAGAGCTTGCATTGCTGACAATGTTTCAAAAGGGCTACTCCAAGGCTGAAATATTTTGCAAATCTGTAACTCACCAGATTTCATTTAGATAGATAGATAGATAGATAGATAGATAGATAGATAGATAGATAGATAGATAGATAGATAGATAGATAGAAAGCTAGCAGGATGCAAAAAAAAGTGATCACCTTTGCAGCAACTCAATTCTGTGCCAGCTTCTAGACTCTACATATATCTTGGTGGTATTGTTAGAAAATAAAAATAAGTTGATACTAACTAGTACTTATGCACACCTGCTCAGGAAAAAAAAATCTAAACAGGTTGAGGTGAAGAGAAAATTCTAGAAGCTAAAGGATGTAGAAGGAAGCAATAGGTATGTGTGGCCTGGCCTTGGAGGAGACAATGGGTAGGAGTGGGGCAGGCTGAGCTGAGAGGGCAGGCAGGACAGTGACAGGCAGAGGGAGACATGGCAGGAATCTGGAGGCAGGCTGCACTTGGAGACATTTGAGTTTACTGTTTGAAAGCACTCCTGCTGTCCAGCCCCTGGCTTCCACCCTTGATGCCAGGTTATCAGTGGCCCTGGGCTCCAGCTGAACACCAGGTTGGTATATAACAAAGCTGCCTTCAGTCATAATTTGATCTTGGATATGCAAGATCTGGGTGGGCTGGAGGGGGGAGTACTTTTCTTGGAAATGTGCCCACCTGGCTTT